ATTAACATTACGTAAACGATGATTTTCATCTAAAAATCGTTCTGGTTCAAATTTTTCTGGTTCAGACCAATGTTGTTCATCTTTCATTGCTGACCACATATTAACAAGTATAAATGTATCTTTTGGAATAAAATAATTATGAAAAGTAATATCTTGTGTTGTTGCTCGTGGAAGTAATATTGGACCAGCACAATGACAACGCATTGATTCAAGTAAAACAGCTTCTATATAAAACATTCGACTACGATCTTTATCGCATGGTGGTCGATCTTTACCAATAATTCGATCGATTTCTTCATGAATATTTACTTGTACATATGGATGTGCAACAATATAAAAAATAGTCCAATGAAGTGTATTTGATATTGTTTCTGTACCAGCAACAAAAAGATCTTGAACAAGTGAATCAAGATTTTCTTTTGAAAAATATGTACTTCGTTGTCGATGTTGATTCATTTCATCTAAATAAGCATCAACAATATTTGTAATAAATTCATTATCAAAATTTGTTTCACGTTCTCCAACTAATTTTTGTATAACACGATTACAATCTTTAACATTTTCAAAAATATTCTTTTGAAATTTTCTTGTAAATGGTAAAAAATTAAAACATGCTATTGTTGTTGTTTGATTAAAATTTTCATTAATTTTTTCAAATAAATTATTCATATTTATTGTTTCAAAATAACGACCAAATGTAAGTGTACAAATATTATTACATGCTATTTGACTTAACATATTACCAATACGAAATGGTGATGATTGTTTTTCACGAATTTTTTCAGCTACAAAACGTACTTGATCAAGACAACCACTTTCTAATGATGATCGTCGTCGACGTCCAAATCGATTAAAACTTCTTATAAGAAAATTTTTATGTTCATGAAATTCTCGACCATATGGAGCAGATATAACACCTTTACCATGTAATGTTTCATGAATCATATGAAGATATGGACGACCAGCAAATATTTCACCATGATCATGTAATGCTTCACGTATAATTGATGGTGAATTAAGTACAACAACTATTTGTGAACCAAGATGAAGTCGAAATATTTCTCCATATTTCGACATTTTCGACCAGCGATGTAATGTTTCATATGGACGATAACCTAATTGAAGAAGATTACCAACAATTGGCCATGGACGAGGACCACATGGTACTGTAGTTGAAGATTCTTTCTTTTCATTATTATTGAATTTCTAAAATTAAATAAAAATTATTTGAAAATTTGTTTTTTTTTTTTTCTATTTTATATGAATTACTTACTTTATGATGCATTATGCTCATGCCCAGCATAGTAACGATGGCGACCAGTACCAAGACTAACATTTTTATAAGAATTCAATGAAAGACTGATTGTTTGTAAAGCATATTTATATATCGAGTCGGAAGTAAACTTTGAACAGCTTAAAATTATGTTTCTAAAAAAAACTAAAACCAGACATAGACAATAAGAGAAAAAAAATCAATTGATAAATAATTAATTAACTACAAAAATGGGACCAAAAAACAAAGAAAAGTTATTTTGAAAACATACAGATTTGTTTATGTTATTGAATTGACGTCAAAATATTAGATGATCATTGCTTTTTTCTTGATTAAAAAGCTAGTTATTGACAAAAAATAGATGTTCATTTTAGCAATTTGTTTTTATAATTATCGTCGTAGGTTGAATTATTTCTGTTTTATACTATTTTGACAAATAAAATAAGAACGGTGAATGTCATTTTGTAGAAGTCATTTACTGTTTAATGTGCCGTTTTTATCATAAATATAACATGATGGCCACCAAATCTCTTGTACTATACTAATGATTATTCATATTGAATAGTTTTTATCGAGTATGTCCCGATTTGATAGAGTGAAAAGGACGATGTCATTGTTCCATAAAACAAGATATGAGTTAGTTGTCGGGTACAAAGTACAAGTTCATTTATAGAATAAGCTTTTAGACAAGATGAAATTGTGCAGTGATTTTAAAATAGAAAATAATCAGATTTTATTATATTGTGAGTCGTAGAATAATCGACAAGGTGAATGTCAAAGTTTTTTCTTCTTCTGCTTGTTTTATTATCATCTTCTGGTTGTGTTAAGATTCTAGAATATGGGTTCCCGTGAACTCGTATTTTGTTTTTCTTATTCTTATACTATAATGTTTACTATTTCGAAAACATCAATTGAATAAATGTTTTACTTAATATTAGAGTCATGTAATTGTTAAATGATAATTTAAAGATATTCCGAAAGTCTTTCTTAAGATATTGAACTTACAAGAAAATCCTTACATAATAAATAAATAAAATTATTATAGCTTCGAAAGAAATATCGTTTAGTTCTTATCACACATTTAGTGTTTTTTTTTTATCGAGGTTAAAAAAAAACTAATTCAGATGCATGTTGACAAATTCACAATATCCATTGATATAAAATACAAATTTCACATATAAATGTTTCTCTATGATGAAACTCAGAAAATACATTCATATTTTTTGTTTGTTGAATTTAAATCAATGATTTAGTCATTTATTTTTAATGAAAATCATAAAAAAATAAATCAAAATGAATCGTACTATTATTGAAATATTTACTGTAAATATTGATTGCTACTAAAGAGATTATTTAATAATTTCATCGTGATTATATGAATATGTATATAATCATTCTTGCTTTGAAGAACGACTAAGCATAATTGATTATTTGACATTTTTCATGTATTAGTTCTGAAGTTTTGAATAATTCTCAATAGTTTTAGTGATATTAATTATAATCGAAATAACATAACTCTTTTGTTTTATTGATTAATGTTTTAATATTTTTTGATAATGTTTTATAAACTAATAAAAAACTCATTAATCCAATAAAATATAATTGATTATGTTGTTCAGATTGTAATTATAACTCTTCAATTTAATATTAGAAGAAATTGTCTTCCGAGAAATAAATAAGACATATGTCAAGATGTTTGAGTTTTTTTTTTAGATTTGACAAAATTCTGTTGAATGTCATTCATCTGTTTATTTGAAAGAAATATTTATGTTTGACATATTTTATCAGAAACGTTCTGTTGGATCAATACTCAAGAAAAGTTTATTTGTCTACGTCATCGATAAATATAATTCATATATAATATATGAAATGATAAAAACAAAAAAGAAAAATATATTAGATTATATTCAACAAGATAAAGATGTAATTCATCATTGAATCAAGACGAATCACAGAAAAAGACAACGATTGAATGTCATTGAATTTATAAATAAAAATATTTTATGTTTATATATCTTTTAAATTTGGATAATCAGCAACAACTTGAAATATCAATTTATCAACAAGATCATAATCTTTAGATGCAAAAATGTATCTGATAATGTTTGCTTGTCTTCTAAATCTGTTCTATGCTATTGTATAACTACTTCAATATCTACATAAATTGTTCGTCAATCATCAACATAATGATTTCGACATATATAGTTTTGTGCTTTTAAACACATTGATATTAAATTATTAAAAAATAATTTCGACTGTGATCATCATAATCTATATCATGTATATTACTAAAGACAATAATTTAACGATAATAAATAGTATCTAATTATGATTTATGTAATCGATCAATTATTATTGTATTGAGAATAATATTATTAATTTCGACTACAAGTTTTTACCTTTAGTTAAAATATTTAATGAGAATTCCAAGAAGTTTTTTTTTGTATCATGACCTACTTCTATTAGACTATTTCCAAAGTTAAGCATTTGTTGAACTTTTAAACTAACCGTACGTTTAAATTTCTTAAAATGAACTAAACTATTACTGTTTAAAAGATTCTATTCATAAAAGAAATTTCATGCGTTCTCGTTTTATCCAAAAATCATTTTCTACAAAACCAATAACTACAAATCATTGTTGTTGAAAGATTATAAAACTTTTGTTTGTGCTAGTATAAGAAATAATTTCATATTATTATATTATCATCGTATTGATTATATTTTTAATCAAGAGACAAGAAACTAATTTCTAGTGATTGAAATCATTAGAAATTACTTCAATACATTAATGATATGAAAAATAACGTGAAATTGGTTAGAAATAATCGGAAACTATTGAAAATCATTAAAAACTAATGGAAATCATTGAAAATCATTAGAACTCGACAGAAATCACTGAAAAATCACAAGTGAAAAAGTTAATATAGAAATTCTGATTTCTAGTGATTTTTATTATTATCGTTGATTCCCAATATTCTTAATGGTTGATCTTGAATTTATTATGACTTTCCTTAATTTATATAAGTTGTCAATGCATTCTATTAGTTTTCGATCGATAAATAGTAACTGACTTACACTAATTAGTACATAATATTAGAAATCATCAAAAATTAAGCAAACAGTTTGTTCTTTACTTTTTTTTTCAAATTAAATAAATAACAGAATAAATATGTTCAATAAGAATAGTTAGATCGAATCTTATTAAGATAGATACATGAAAATATATTCAATAGATTTTAAATCATCATGATATAATTGTCGTACATCCTTATGAATATTGTTTGATACGTCAATACTTCAATATGAATATATTTTAGTTTTCAATTTTATTCCTATAACAAAAACTGCATATAATATTGTTGATGACGAAGTTAACATGTCGATGCCTTATTGATCTCATTCGGTGGAATGCATCGTATAGTTTTTTCCAACTTCAAAGAATTTTTTTTTCAATCAATCTGAATTCGATTAAGATCGTTATATAGTTAAGTTCATAAGACATCAAGAGTACATAGAACTTTATATAATAGTTATGAATAACTGTTCGGTATTCACCTATCGAATAGCCAATGATAAACTATGTACATTGAGAAGAATAATCTTCACCAAATTAAATATCATGTTCTACTTAAGGAAAAAAAGGAACTCTTTAAATTAACAGTTTACATATCATAAAAACAATTCGAACTAGTATCTTTCTTTTCAATGTGTAAATACATTATATTTATCAACATTTTGCTCGTCTACGTCTGATTAATGAAGCAGTAAATGCTGATGCTGAAGATGATGAATACAATAATTGATGATATGATCGTTTTTTAGGTAAAATTTTATCTCTATTTGTTTGATCACGTAATAAATCAGTTAATGTTTGAGATTCATTTATAGATTTATATCGTCGTACCCAACCACCATTAACATGTGTTGTTGCACAACGTCCATAAAATTTTGCTTCACTATTATTATCATCATCAAATATAGTAGCACTATATATTCGATTACTTCGAATATCAATATTTTTTTGTCGTACATCAGGTAATGTTGAATATTGTGTTGCTGTAGCCATTGATAAAGGTGACCGAGTTTTTTCTGATCGAATTGTAGCTGTATCAAAATTTGTTTTTTCAGCTGGTACTAATGACATAAAAATATCACCTGTATTCTTAACAAAATCATGAACCTGATATGATGTGTCAATTTTCAATTAAATCCTTACTATTTTCTTTTCACATGGTACAGATGGTTTTCGTCGACTTTTTCCTTTTGGAAATAAACCTTTCATACTATACGGACGTTCATGAAGACCTAATAATGAACTTCCATCAATATAAGTAGTTGTAACAGGTCGTTTTTCAATTCCAGACCAAAAATTATAAGTTGATGCAGATACTGTCGAATGATAATCGGCTAAATCTCTTTGAATAGCTAATGAATTTCTTGGTAAACGACGATATTGATCATAATAATATTCATATTCATTCATTTTTTTTCTTTATCTAGTAACTAACTTTCAAATTATACAGCTGATCGATGTCTATAATTGTTGACAAAAAAATTTATATGTAAAAAACATAGCTGCAAAGAAAGAATAAATAAAAAAAAAAGAAATGAAAAGTTATAGTAACGAGAAATGCAATGGACGAACAAACAGAACAACGAGAGTAAAATGGAATTTAGATTTCATTCTTTTTTTTTGCTCTTCAATCAACTTTGAACTAAAATAGAAAATAAATGAGAGTCTGCTGGATGTATTATAATTTGTTTGAACAGTCATCTATTTGCTTATAAGAATCATTTAGTTATAAAAAAGAGAAAATGAAACAAATTTTATTATTCTTGTACGTTGCATATCGATTGGAATCCAGTAATAAATTTGTTCATAAATATTTAAAAACCAAAAAAGAAATAGTATTTAGTTGGTGTCAAAATAACTTGTATAAGCAAGAATTTTTCCCAACATAATAAAAATCAATTATTTGATGATGTTTGTTTGATCCATCTCAAAGGAAAACCTTCATCTTGCAATAGCAATCATTACATTTCTTTTCATCAAATATTACTATGTTTAACATCAAGTAGAATAGAAAAAAAAAGAAAGCATGACATAAAAGAAAAAAAATCAATTATTGAATCGATAGGAGTGCCTTATTCTCAGTTTTATGCCAAAGATAAAAATATGAGAAATTATATATCCAATCAAACTCTTTAGTCGACTAAATTCCAATTCTATACGTCAATTGAACAAAGATTGAATCAAAAATAACTTCTTAAAAAAAGGCTGTTAGCTAGAGCTGGACAATTTAACTTAAAGAAATTTTTGAAATTGTTATTATCAGATTAATTTACACAATAAAACTAATGAAAGGTCAAGTTATGACTATGATTTCTCTAGAACTTTTATTTCGGGATAGTTGAATCACATTCGCATTTATATATATATATTACTATTTTTTTTTCTTTCTTTGATAAGTTCATATAATTTATGCACCTATTCTCTCAACATACCGATGTGTTTTCCTTTTTTTCAGGTCATAGGTACAACGTTCATTTGTCTTTATTTACTAGGGCAATATCATGCATAGCATTTGTTTCGATGAACTGATGTGATATCTATTATTAAACATATATCTCTTATAATGTGTTCATCTTTTGTTCAATAATATTTGATTCAACTATAATCTTCTCTTGTAGTCTGTTAAATACTCCAAATCATTCTATAGTAAATAATTCTAATTGTATTCTGATATGAAAGGAAAGAAATTTTTTTATATGATGAACAATAATAAAACTCTTTCTATAATTCGTTCAATGAAGGAAAACAAGAACAAATTTACTTTGATTAGAATTTTCAAATATGATTGAGTTGAGTTGTCCAGCTCTGCTGTTAGTACACAATCTCTGTGAGATTAAAATGCGAAACACGATGTTTCTGATCGCAGGAAGATTGTTTTATTCTATTTATTTTGAGATATATTTCTTCAGCATCCTTTTACCTAATTCTCAAGATATGCAATAAGTCAGTCGTGTTCATGTATTATAACAATACGTTATTGATATTCGGTCTGTGATCGTATATCAACAACGTCTGTCACAGTTTGGGATTATATAAAGAAATTCTCTAGAAAAATTTTCAACAACGAGTTCATATTCAAACTATTGATAGGATGATATTGATTTTTAATAAATTATATGTCAAATAATTATTTCGTTTGTCTAACTATTTGAACGAGTATCGAATTTTGTACATATTTCTCATTCAGTCTATTTATTTTATTTTTCAACTGATTTTCCTGTTCATTCGTTAGTCATAATGCATCTTCTTTCCTCATGAAAATTATTTCTTCATTGATCTTTTTTTTTTTTTTTGATATTCGATGTGGAATAATGTATAGATGACAATTAGGATTCTAGAGGAATTTGTAATTGTTTTTGCGTGAACTAATGATGATTATTTTCAAAATATGACCATTTTGACTGATCATCTTACAATAAATTCATATCTATTTCAACAAAATTTATTGAAAAAAAAAATTCAGTTAAGAAAACATAAAACTATATGATAGGTGCAATGAAATTATTGAACAAAAAAAGTAGCATTTAATTCATTAAGTCGTTTTTTCCTATATAAAATATAAAGAAATAATTTCAAAATAAAGAAAAAAATTATAAAATGATCATACGCTTCTTGACAAAATGTTTCAGATGAAATTTGATCTTTATCTTTGCCGGTTGGTGCTGTATTGTATTTTGTTATACCGAGAGCTTCCATCGCTAGAAACAAAAAAAACCCGACAATAAAATGAATATATTTGAAAAATAATTAATCTTACTAGATGCATATTGTGAATATGTTATATAACCAAGTCCAACAGGATCAAGCATACGAAAAGCAGATGTTAGATCTGTATCTTGAACAAGTGCTGGAAATGGAAGACCAGTTGCTCGAGCTTTTTTTAATTGTTCAAGATAATCAACCATGAACCCCTTTGGATCATCTAGACATTTACAAATATGATAAAGATATGATTTTTTGTTTTTTGTCTTATTTATTCACCTGGTCTGTTATAAACTATAGATGCTGAAAGATTATGAAAGAGTTCAGGAATACGATGCATTTGAAGATAATCAGTTGCTGTTTCTTCTATTGGATTAGCATTTGGTGCACTTGGATAATTATCCATATGGAAAGAAAATTAATTATTAACTTGTTTGTCTAAAATTTGATTCAATTCATAGGATTCAAATTAATAAAATATGAATTATGAAATACAAATTTATCAATAGAAAAAGAAATATTTAACTCGATCCCAATTAACCTTATATATTTATTGATACTTATCATCTATTAGTAAAATTTAGCAAAAAATAGAAATTTTGAAATAGTATTCTATTAGTGTAATAATACTTTCAGCTGATCAATTTTAGCACAAAATGATTAGTGGATGATACATAAATCAAAACTATAGTTACAATTTGACTGTTTTCAATGATGAAAAGCCTAGTTTACTAATTCTTTTCATCTTTATGAAAGAACCTGCCAGATGGTAAAACCGTTTTTAGAATAAGTGTTACCTCGTTAGATAGGGTCCGTTGAAACTAGAAAAAGCCTAAAATGACTCGTGCCCATAGATCTTTCTTCTTGAGCTATGGTCATTTTACTGAGTTTTTCAACAGTTTATCGTGATTCCGCTCCGGTCATCTTCAAAATCGACTTTCGAGTTCAAGAATTATCAATGGGACTAGTTCATTCTGTGAAAGTTTCAGATTTTTTAGTATCTTCTATCCTGAGATACGAATATAAGAACAGAGTTTTCAATATTCGTATCTCAGGATAGGTAGTACTAAAACAATTTGAAAATTTCACAAAATGTGAACTAGTTCCATATACAACTCTATTTATACAAAGTTTGAACTCGAAAGTTGATCGAGAAGATGACCTAAGCGGAATCACGGCATTTTGTTGAAAAACTCAAGAAGAAAGACCTATCAGTACGAATAACTTGAGACTTTTTCTAGTCTCAATAGACTCTACCTAATGATGTAAGACTCATCTGAAAAACAGTTTATCGCTTGACGAGCTGTCCTCGCTAGGCTATCACAAATAATGATTGAGACTAGCGTTTTTGAAAAGATAGTAGTTGAATAGAGAAAACATTCATCTATGCTTTGTATATGTATTTATTAAATAGTTAGTTGTTATATTCAATAATGAATTGTTTGAGTTTCAATGACAATAAAGAGAAAAGGAAAATAATTAAATAATCTACCTGTATATAAATTATTCAAAGAGATTTTTCTATATACTCATGCAATATCTAAAACAAATACAACAAGTAAATAGAAGAAAAAAATACAAATAAATAAATACGATATTTATTTATAATATTTATTTTTTAATACGAATATATTTTACATTTTTTTATGTCCTTGTCTGGACATTCACGAAGTTTATCAAAATAATAAAAAAAGCCATCTTTTCGACGTTGTAATTTCTTAACAAAGCCACTATCAGGCCATATATCAATCTATAGATATAGTATTTCATAATGAATAATAGAGTTTAAAAAAAAAAATTTAATATAAACCTCTGCTACTTGACGAATTCGTTTATATTCAAGTTCATCTCGATAACCAGCTAATTGAAAACGATATGCATTTTCAACTTCTTTCGACCAATGTGTTGGACGAATCAATGATTTAGGTTCGAGTACTGCTAAAGCTGATGCTGCCATTTTAATAAAATGTTAAACTATTTAATGAAGCAGAGAAAACACAATTCGAGGTCAATTATATTAAACAATTTATAAACAGAAAACTAAACTACATCAAATGTGTTGTAAACATAGAAATACCTCTGTTATGTTCACTTTATACGATTCTCTATATATTTTTAACATAGATGGCGTAAAGTCTAGACAATATATTCTGACCGATTTCTTAATTTGAATTAACTTAAGGAAGACTTCTTCACTTTTCTGGCACGGTTGAAGAACGACTCAGTAGAAAATTTTGAAAGCTTTCAAAACAAATAAATTTCGGTAAATAGTGCAAATACTGTTATAGACTCAGAATTCATGATGCTTCTGGCGAGGAAACATTGAGGTCGCAAAGGTGTGAAAACTACTTGTTACAGGCCTCGATCCACCTACTCTATCTCTCTCTCTCTTTACGATTGTTATTCTTTTTCTTTTTTTCTTCTTCGCTATTGTATCTTGTAATATATATATGTACGTGTTGTTAAGGACATTTTAGAATATATATACATTTTAAAATAAACAAACGTGAGTTCATCCAAGCGAGCTAACACTACTCCTTCCTCTTATCGTCCCTCTTTCTCAGCCACGAGACGTCTGATAGGACTAAACATTTTTTACAGGTACTAGATACTGTTTGAGTAGTCCTCATTTTTGAGCTTCTTGTTCTGTTCGAATAAAAACATCAAAATCTTGAGAGCACCTCAACGATCCATTGTTTTTTTTTAAGTTTGAGCTTTTTTTGTAAACTCTCTTGAAATATATTCAGTAGATAGAGGATACTTCAAAAAGTATATAGTGTAGAAAAGAAATAAAAATTAAAAATCTACATATTTTCGGTCGAGAAAGTGGACGTCGTTAGGTTCTGTAAGTCCGATGAATACTACATATAATATTGAACATTCTTACCGCTTTTTAAAAAATATTTTTAGGAGAGTATAAGAAAGCAGAATGATATGTCTCTTGATTTCTTTTTTATTGACTCTTATATTATGGCTTTACTACACTAGTTTTGAGAAACACGATTATAAATGAGTGTAGAATGCTGTAATGAGAATGTTGGACATTTCAAGCTGACATAGAAGTGAAGAAAATGTTAAGATATCATTTCCTGTGTCTTCTTTCTATCTAATGAAGATCTTCTTGTAATCGAATAGGAGTAGTGGTTAGAGATGTATATAACTATGGTTTTTGGTCACAGTCATGGTTATGAATGTTTTTGAAGTTCATTACAATCATTATTGATAGATTCAAAATAATCCTAATTAAGGATTCATATCGTCAAAAGTGCCTACGATTGATCAATTGATTAAGATTCTAAGAATGAAGAACAATCATTTAAGAATTTTTCTATGAAATTGAGAAAAAAATAGTAACTCTTAAGAAAATCTGAACTTTGCTCAAGTTAGGTTTCACCTTACAGATCGTTAGTAGTGATCTATAAAATTAAAAAAATGTTATTAAAATTTTGTTTATAATTATAGTAATATCATTATATTCAAACATTTTAGTTTTGCAAAGATTTTATTGACAGCTATTTTTTCATAGTTTACATGGCTTTCGATAAAATAAAGCATTTTCTCATAAATGAATACAGAATGAATTACATTGTTCACAGGTATGTATGCATACATTTCAAGATCTATGCTCATTTATACATGCCAAATATCATATTTTAAGTTAGAAATGTTCAAAGAGGACAATGGTTGACTGAAGTGTGTAAACGTTCACTTCATTCACATCCTATTGACAAAAATAGAATATAAAAGAGGAATGTGATGAGGCAAAATAACTTGCAATGATAAATTATAAATTAAAGTTGATCATATACTAGTTTTTGAAGAGTAATTCATAGGTTGATGAATCATTGAGAAATAAGATTTGTTTGGAATAGAATGCTGCATTTACATTTTTTAATGAGTGAGCTGTTACAAATGGGTGTTGTTTGTTGATAATGCTTTTGTTTTAGTTTTTCAAATCTTACGTAGGTTTTTTAGCATCGACTAAGTTTTTGATTTAGATTATGATTTTCATTTTTTTTCAATTGAAATCAAAGCTTTAGATTCTGTAAAAAGCTGAATGGTAGAGAAGATAGAAGTGAACTTCTTCTTTTTCTCATTCATTATCTTGATGATGAATTCATTTAAAAAAAAAATTTTTTTAACTTTTTTTAATAATTATTTTCAATTAATAGAAGAAGAAATTTATTGAAAATAAAAAACGTAGAAAAGAAAAAGCATATTCATCGATTTATTTTAATACATATGACTATTTTTTTTTTAAACGTATCAAAAAATCTTATTTAAATATAAACAAAAGTCAAATCTTAAAGTCCAAAACAAGCTTTAGCATAATTAATTTCATTTCTTAATTCAGACGAAACTTCATTTGAATTGAATAGATCAATAGTTGAAAGAAATTTATTTGTTCGAAGTGCATAAAGAAATATTGTTGTTAAACCTCGTTCAATTTGACTTTTTATATCATTATCATCAATCATTGTTGAAAAACCACCAAATAAATACATTGTTTTATCTTGTTTTATAGTTAAATATTGTTCAATATTCATTTGTTCAAGTATTTGATAAAGTTTTTGATTAATATCTTTTTCAAATAATTCAATAAAAGCTTTCAAAGCACATTTAGTCGGTATGGCATAAGCATGAACATGTGAACGAGTAACACGAGCACAAGGTTTTTTACATTCTGAATTATCATTTTTTATAGAATCATTAATATTTTCAGGTATAAATGATGGATATAATTCAAAAAGATTTCTACAATTACATTCTTGAACACATTTTGAATTCATTACAGCATTTAAACGATATTTTTGCATTAGATCAAATGTCCATTTTGTAATTAATTGTATAACAATAGGTGATATTGATTGTAAAATAGTAATAATTATTGTTTCAATTGATGCAGTTAAATCAACAATTGAAAGAAGTTTATTATTAATAAATAATGAAAGACTTTCTTCTGATGAACAAAATATTTTATTAATTGATGAATTTTCTTCACTAATATCACTACAATTATTTATATTACATTGAATAGAAAAATCACTTGACCATTTCGAAATTAAATAAAAACCTCTAGATTTTCCTGTTATTAAATCAATAGTACACATTGATTGCCATAGTAATTCAATAGGTATCCAATGTGATGGATATTTAAATCTTGCAACATCAAGTATAAGTACAAGATCTTCTTGTGAATGATATCCAGCTATTGGTGAAAAATGGCCAGTACCTGTTTGTTGAAGTGTACTACGATTATAACTACATACAAGACGAATATCATCTAAACGACGTGTACAAGCAACAAGAATAGCTGAACGAAATTGTGCAAGTGTTGTATTTGAAGCAAGAAATGGAATTATTGAAGCACCATTACATTCTGCTAGATAAAGAAATTCTTCAAATGTAATACCTTCTTCAAGAATATTTTCTAATGGATTATCTTTTGGTTTACGTTTATCACATGTACGTAATGTATTTTCATCAAAAAAACGCCAATTACCTTTCCATATATAACCTGGATCAATATTCAAACTATTCAATACTTTAAATAAAACATATTGAAAAATATATCAAATTTATTTTTCATACATATATATATATATATATACTAACCCATTGAAAGTGTTCCAGGACCACAATATGAAGGTTCAGCTTGAGTATGAAATGTTTCTGCTAAACTAAAATATCCATGTAAACCATCACTAAGAAGTGCTTCACGAAATAAACGTTTGCCTTTCTCAGAATTGAAAGGTATGGCTATTTCAGGTAATGGACGACGATACCAACCAGGTATACATCGTGTTGTTACAATACCATATGGTTGTTCGAGAATTGTAGAAGAACTACACTTTTGTGATGTTGTCATAAGTTACTAAAAGAAGAAAAATGCGCAAAAGTAAGAAAACATTTAGAACAAACAGAAAATGGAAGACATACAATATAAATATCTACTCCTCAATTCGAACTAGAAACCTATTAGTAATTAGTAGAACATAGTCAGATCCTGATGAATCATCAATATGTACATTTAGGAGAAAATCACGTATAGAGACAGTTTTTTTAAGATTCTTATTTCTGAACATTCTAAGATATAAAGATTGATTGGATGAATCTATCTCTCCAATCAACATTTGTTCTAGAACACTCATATATCTTTACTTTCCTATTGGACAGCTAATTCAATCCAATAAATCTTTGATTATCTAGACTTTTTTTTATATTGTATATGATTTTTGTCATTTCCAAAATGTCGTCTTTAGAATTTCCTGATCTACTCTATCCAGAATATTTAAATTCTAGTGATCAACCACATGAAATCTTACTTGATCAATGGCCAATAACAACTATGGTTAATTAGTTTAGAATAAAAATTTATTAAAAAAATTAACAAGATCATATTTAGGATTTAACATTAGATAAAAATTTTGTTATGCAAAAAATATCTTCATCACAACATATGTCTACTCTTCGAGCAACTGTACCACCATTTACTTATTCAAGTAATAATTTTATTAATTCTTCTGATTAAAACTAAATTTTTTAAAATTTAGTTGCATCACAAGATTTAACTTATATGAATAAATATACATTGTCAACAGTAAATGCTGACGAGTATAATTTTTCTATTCATAAACATCGAATTAAATTTCATTTATAGAAATATAAAAATAATTCAACTCGTCTTATTGCTAAACATAATCATCTTATTTATGTTACGAAAAAAAATCAATTGAGTAAAGAAAAATAATTATGATTTATTTTCATGATTTAATTTCTCTTTTTTTTTTGCTATCGATAGATATACAATCATTACCGAATAATATCTATGATGATCTTTGGTCAAATACAATTGAACATTTATCTACTACAGAACAACGAAAATATATTATACAATCATTAACTTCTATTAAATTATTAGATTGTATTGAAGAAGATGAACAAATATTGAATATTGCACTTGCTGATCAGGTATTTTAAACATTTTTTGAAATGAAAAATTCTATCATTTTATTCATAGAAAGGATTATCATTTTATTCATATAATCCAACAACAATAACTTCAACACTTACGTCACATATTGAAACACCTGAACATACATCAATTCTTTCATTTTCTTTTAATCCATACATTACATCAAATGCTATTCTTATTGATAAAAATTATCGAACATATCTACTTGATGATGGTATATTTACATATCTTCATCAACAGACAGATGAAAACAAAATACATTCATTAGACATTCCTCGACAAATATATCTCGATTGGGATGCTTCACCATTTCTATATACAATAGCTGATAGTCATAATGGTTCTTGTCTTCTATATGATATACGTTTACCTAATGAATCTTTTAAAGAACTTTTTATTATTGGTCATAATCATCCATATTTAGCTAAAACAGAAATTATTCGAAGTTATAAAACAAGTTTAATTAATTCATATCAACATATTTTTATAACTGATTATTCATTAATTATAATTGATTCACGAATGCCAAATAGATCTGTAAGAAATTGATATATGAACTAATAAAATATTCTATTTATTATTATTTTTTTTTTCTCAAAGGCTATACATTCTCATCATGAATTATTACGACCACCAACTTCGTTTACACAAATAAAGTCAAATAATCAACATTTGATTTTTATCAATGATGAATATAATACAAATGTACTTGAATATAATACTGATATATATCATCGTTTAATTCAAACATGTCCTTCTTGGGAACTTTGTCCGATATCAAATAGTCGAATGTATTTAATAAATAATAATACTCATAAGAATAAAGAATTATTATTTGCTAAATCAATTTATTTTGATGTTCCAATACGAGATATGGTGATTGTGTCGAATCCAATAAATTCAAAATCTTTTCTACTCTTTCAAGTAAAATCTTTTGATTTAATGTTTATATAAAATATAAATATCTTTTTTTTTTTCAAATCAAAATAGATACAGATTAGAGACAATCATAGATTTCTATACTTAAAATTCATTTTAATACTCGAGATATTTCTCTAAATGACATATTCTAATATTGTTTTCATCAGGCACTTATTCTTTCAAATATCTAACAATTCATAGATGAATAATTTGAGACAATCGATTCATCATTTAATGTAGTTTCTTTGATATTAGCTTTGACCTTGTTGTTAAATTTATTTCTCAGTATTTCAAAATAAAAAACAATAATCTTAAATTCAGATTTATCCATCTATTTCATAGTTGAACAGTGCTGGTAATATACATGTACAACTTTTTGATGCATCCATTGATAAAACTGAAGAAAAAACTTGGAATCCTGATCCAGACGGTTTATTAAAACAACCACCTGATTGTTTTCAACAAGCAAATGACTATTGGTCAACAAAGTTCGTTTGTTCTTTGTTTTTTTTTTTCGTTAAAAATTTTTTCGTTAAAATTATTATTTCATTAGATTTTTATCACTTTTTCAATGTCATGATTGTTTAACATATAATGTTGAACCGACAAATTTTACAATTGTAACACCATTACGTGCAATGACACAAACATCATTACGTGATTTTCCAACATTTAAAAATGAACATAAATCTACAGAAAAAATAATACCAGGTAAATTTGAGAATAAAACGAAAAACTTATATGTAATAATATACATAAATTGTTTTCTTTTTTCTTCATTTTAAGCTGAACTTCTCGAATGTCCAACATGTACATGTATGCCGAATCTCAAAACACAAGGACAATTATCTCGTGCAAAAAATTGGATTCAAGGTATTAATCAAATACAAAGAAAAAAATTAAATACATTTTTTTTTTCTTGTATTCGAATTCGATTGTTTTATAGATTGGAAATCAAAATTAGATGATATACAACAAGAATTAACTGTATGTTAGATTAAATAAATTAATTTCTTCTATAATAATAATAATTATTTCATTAAAAGGATACAACACAATCAACAACATATAATTGGCGACAGATATTTGATTATGATGAATTGAATGAAACAAATAAAGATTCAACATTATGGAATGAAATTCATCGACCATGGTTTCCACCACAAAACAATACTAAAGATGAATCATTTGATCCATCATTAAAATGATATATATTTTTTTCTTTTTGTATCAATTTTTTGTTAATTTATTTTGTTTAATAAAAAAAACTTCTAAAGTGTCAGTTTGAAAGTTTTATTTTTTCTAGCAAACTGTAAAATATGAAGAATCTACTGCGTACATTCTTGCTGGTGTATTCGTTATTTATATAACATAGAATACAGTAACCATCCAAGTTGATGACAACGAAGCTTATTTTTATGAAGAATTTAACCATCGGCTAAAAGAGCAATTTTACAAAATATATGATAGATTATCAAGTTCATTTATTATTATTCGACTATAATCATGTAAAAGAAAGCAAAAATATCTATTTTATGTAATAAAATATCATTATAAACGAAGCAATTGTAACAATAGTAGGTATAATTTAATTACAAAAATATAAAGAATAGCTCAGAAGTTCTGTCTCGTTTTTGTATAATAAATGTTCTCGTAGATCTGTGTTGATAGAGAAAAAGTACAGTAGACTGTATCTTTCGAAATGATTCTAAAGTTTCATATTACGAAATCACTTTAGAATTATTTTATGATTATTTGAATATCTAATACGTTATCTGGATATAACGAACGAACAAGTAGACGCAGAGAGAAATACAAAATGCTAAGAGCATTCTAAAAAACTAACTTTTTGGTCAAGTGCCAAAGGGTATGTCATTTGTATACTATACCATTTTCCACATGCAAGTCAACAAGAGCTAATACTTTGAATTTAGCTATAGTTTGACTAGACCTTTCATTTGAGATAGTTAAATCGAAAATCAAAATTTCACCGGCGGCGGACTTGGTAGATGACCTCGCGGATCCTCTCTTAAGTCTTAATTTATTTTGTCTTAATAATATAAAATTAAACATTTAATCAGAGATGCAGAATCTGTCGTAAAAAGAGAAAATGTCCCCGAACGAAAAAATAACTCGAAGAATTTTCACAAATTTAATAGTTTCGAACAAACATTTCGAGACAATAATTTCAAAAAAAAAAGGTTCTCCGAACATAATATTTTTTCGACAATATCTCTGAACACGCATTCGTGTACATGGGCAGATTCTGCACCTCTACATTTAATATTCAAATATGTTTCACATTTCAATCAATCAATGATTGCTATATTATGAACGTATTCAAAAAAAAAAAAACTCAATCAAAGAGATAGAATTTGCATGAATAACAAACAAGGAAAAAAGGAACATACACAGTCATCAACCACTATATCAATACACATATCAACGAACTAATATTACTACTTTATCAACAGATAAAAATTGAATAATCAAAACAAAATTGCTAAACAGAACAAACTGTTCAAAATTACAAAAGAAATTTTTCGTGTGAAACATAATAAAATACAAAATAATAGACTTTTCAAAAACAAAGAAACAAGTAGTAGTAATTAGTATTTTGTTTATCGATTTTTTTTTTGTTTTTATAAATAAACTGGATTATTTTGAGTACGGCTATCGATGATTGCAGCTAAACGAATAAAAAAAAAACAAAGATAATAGAAAATAAATCTCAATAGATTTTAATTTATAATTTTACTTGATTCTTCTCTTATTTGAACAAAAGATAAATTTGAATTAAGTGGAATAGCATGATTCATTGAAAATTCATAACCATTCATATCAATAACTAAAATATCTAATTTTCGTTCTTGTTTACTTATTTCAATAATTTCATATATTTTATTCATTGATAAATATTTTATATCTAGACCATTTAATTCAAGTACAACATCACCTTCTTTTATATCATATACATCAGCTGATGAACCTTGTTCAATAGATTTAATATATAATACTTTATTACGTTTTAATGTAAAACCAAAATCATATTCAAAATTATATAATTTTAATTTACATAAACGTGGTCTTATTTGATCAACTTGTGATTGTTGATAATTAAATACTTTACTATCTAAATAACCACCATGTCGTTTTAATACTCGATAACCTGGACCTGTTAACACAATAAGTGTAATTTGACCATTCTCTTCAAATGTACGATGAACTATATCAATTATATCGTGAAATGAACGAAAATTTTGAATATTTTGTGATTCAATATAGATTACATGATCACCTTCAGTTAAACCACTATAAACAAGAATTATATAGAAATAAAATAATAAAACAAAATTTTGAATACCTTTGTTTAGCTGGACTATTTGGAGATACTTCAACAACAATGGGTGTGTCACAGTTTTGTCGTTCAGTTAGTCGAAAACCACATCCACGAAAAGATGAATCTCGAAGAAGTACACATTTACCTAGAATAAATCAGTTTTATCAATATATAGCTATTTAATTTGTAATTAAAATATTTTTACGTTGCCATGGATCTGTAGGTTCAAATAATCCAGAACTAAAATCATTTATAGGATACAATTGATCACGTTTATTGAATTCACCATGAAGACCTAATACTGATTGATATGTATTTGTTGATGATAGTGGTTTTTGTTCATCATATATTGAATAGAAAGTTCTATTTTGATAATGAGGATCATCATTTAATGTGAGTAATGATTTAGCTGAACGTTTTGTTAATGGTTTTACACTCTTTGGTGCAATAAGTAATCGTAAATCTTCATTTTGATAAATATTTTTAATTAAACCGTTCACAACTATATAAAATCAATTAAAGAAAATGGTTTAACGAGAAATACTTAAAACTTTTTCTTTACAATTTATTTATTTATTTTTTTTGATAGCAAATGCTACATTTAAATAGTATGAAAAGATAAAAACAAGTTAGAATTTCGAAGAGTTATTATTTCTCATATATTTATTAGTCTTTTCTTCAAACATAATATTAATCTTACAGATAATCTTATAATTCTCATTCTTTTGTTAGCTAATAGACAGATTCATTAAGTTTTATTCATCAAACTTATGCAAATCTTTGAATAATAAAAGGTTCCAAGGACATGAATGCCAATTAAAATTTAATAGAATATTGATTTTTTCTAGAATTTTTTAGCCGAAGCAAAATTTTGAACTTTTTCCAACATAGAAGTTTCAATTAAACTAATCTATTTACAATGTTTCAGATCTTTTCGAAGAATTCTTTCCGAGATATCAACATAACGATACTGTTACATGGATATTGTGTTCTTTTAAATTATACTTTTACAAATACCTTTTCGGCTGGTTTTTTTGTTGTCTAGATATCCTTTATTTATCAGAAAATGTGAAATTCTAAGTGTTTTATCACTTGAAAATCATTTTTTAATAAGACTTAATCAGATTTATTTAATTATGCTGAACTTTTTTTGTTTCTTACCTTGCAATGGTTTGTTTAATACATTTTCATCATTTACTTCAATTAAACGATCATTTTCATGTAAACCAGCTCGAGCTAAATAATAATAAACAACAAAACTATTAATAAAAATAAATTTAATATTCTACCAGCTGGTGAATTTGGTTGAACTTTATAAATAATATGTTGATTACCATTAGGTTTTATATCAAAACCTAATGGACCAGGTTCTCTTTTTACACGACACAAACGAAGCAGACGTTTTTCAGATACAATATCAACTGTTCCACGTGATAAATGATCCTGTGAAGAATATAACGATGGCACTACATTTGGATTCTTTTCTACACGAGAATATGGGTTATCTAATGGTGAATCATAACCATCTTGAAAAAAAGAAAATCAATTCTTTTTTTTTTTAGATTATAGTATTTAGAATTTTACTAGTACGTGGTTCAATTGGTTTGTGTGTTCCACCCTGAAGATTGTTAATAGGTCTAAAACCTGGTTGTATATTATTTGTAGTTTTCGGTGTATCCATAGGTGGAGTATCCGGTGTTTTATATCTAAAAGCGATGGAAATATTTAGTCTTTCTTTTTGAAATGTTTTGAGGTCCTCCTCACAGCAGATTTATCACTTAGAACGGTCGGTTTGGACTGAAAATTTTAGAAGTGAATGACTCTAAGAATAAACGTTTGTGGTAAAAATTTCAGTTTGATACATCAAACTAGACCGAACTTTCGACTTATAGGGTGCCCAGTAAGGCATGAAACAGACAAACTAAAAATTGAATATCTCCATTATAGCTCGACCAAACGGGCTCATTTTTTTACCAAGTACAGAGGTATGTTCACACTCCAAATTCATACGGACAAAGTCAGTGAGAACCTTTGTTAAATACCGCTATTGATCTCAACAAAAAAAGATTTTACTTGTTCATAGATAGGAAAAGAAAGCAATATGCTCACCATAGGTTCTCACTAATCTCGCCCATACAGATTTAGAGTGTGAACATGCCTCTATCTTTGGTAAGAAAATCAACTCGTTTGCTCGAGCCATAATGTAGATATTCAAGTTTTAGTGTGTCTATTTCATGACTTATTAGACACCCTATAGTTATAGTCCATATATGATCTTCAGGAGAATCCCTATAACTTCGTCACTGCAAGAGCTAAAGAGTTCAAGATAGTTTCAAATTAAAGCCAATATCTTTGCACAATTTTTGTTCGAATAGAATTTTGAAGTTTGCTTTCATTCATTTTTTTTATGATCATCTTAGTATATATATAATGTCAAAATAAACAAAAAAAATATTGGTTATATCGTGAATCGAATGGAAGAGGTTTCAATTTTTCTGATTGAAAATCATATTTTGAGAAATAAAAACATTAAAATGATACATTCATAATATATTTAAATGGAATCTTCAAAAAGCAAGTAACAGATAACATGAACTAGTACTATCGCTCGTATTTAAATTATAAAACAATATCTATTCAATGTTGATGCAAGCAAAAGAGCTTTAATTAAAACTATCAAAATTGCTCAGACGACACAGTAGTAGAATCGAAATTTCTTCTGAAAGTTTGTTAAAATTTGACCTTTTTTTTTCAGAAAGTTATATTTATTCTGAGAAAGCAAATTTCGCTGAATTTTTCTATGATAAAAATTTAATTTGAGCTTTTCTTGGAAAAAAAGAAGGATTTTCTATGAGGGGAAGAGACCCTTAATTTACCGATCAACATTGGCTTTTTTTGCTGATGGGTCAATGGGATATGGACGATTTTTGTACCATCGATAACCACTATCATCAATAACCAGTAATTCAATCTGTTGATCTTTTCGATATTTATCATGGATAAGGTCTTGTACATATTGATAATCTTCGTTTTCAATATTGACACCGTTTACTTGAATTATATAATCATCATTGAAAATATGTGTATGAGCAGCTGGTGAATTTGTTTCAAGTTGTTGTATTTGATATCCACCATTTCTACTAAATTTATTTCGTGATTGAATTATTTTAAAACCAAGCTGTGGATATTTTGGCCAAGACTAAATATAATAGAAGAATGAAATTAAATTCTAAAATAAAAAAAACAAAAAACTTACTTTAATAACACAACAACGCATAGTTGGATAATCTTCGTCGGTACTAGTTGACGGTGTTGACGTAGAGGTTGAAGAAACTGATGGATTTCGTAGAGAAGATTTATCACCGATAACTTCTAATAATAACGGCTTATCATTTTCTTGTGCATATCTAGATGAAGTATTTAGATATTTTTTAAACTCAGCTGCACTCATATCTTCAACATTTTGATTATTAATAGCTATAATATTATAATTAACAGGAAGACCTTAAAAATAAAAATGTGATTTAAAAATTAATATGAAATATTGTTTTTCTTTTTTTTTCTTTTATATTTTATCGACCTTGCTGTTCAGCAGGTGAATTTGGCAGGATTTCAACAATTTTATGTTTAACAATATCAGTTCCAATTGAAGTAACACGAAAACCAAAACCTGGAAAATCTGGATCAGGTCGAAGTTCATAATTTCGTCGATTTGATTGTGAATTTAATTTTGGAGTGATTGGTACTATTGGAGTAGATTCTACTAATTTTGTTAGACCATCTTTTGATGATTTCGGAACTGGTGGTTGTATAAAATTTTTAACTAGTTTTGGAATAACTTTTAAATATACAAAAATCGATTTAAAAAAGAAAAAGAAAAAGAAAACAATCATAAAAATACCATCACGAACTGAAGAAACTGATGATGAAGATTGATCAGTTTCATCGCTTGGTAGATATTTGACACTTAGAAGTTTATTATGAATTAATTTATTTTGTTGTTTATAATAATTAAATGTTTCAGCATCGGCAACTAATACTTTTAATTTTTGAGGATGTTTAATATCACGTACAAGTTGTTTTACTTCAGCATGATTCATCTTTTCAACATTTTCACCATTTATTTCAATTAAATGATCTTCAGATTTAACACCAGCAAGTTCAGCATCTATATATAAATGGAAACAAATTAGCGATATAGAGTAGTGTCAAAAAATCAGAAATATTGAAAATATTTGATACTGGACATGAAAAGCATAACGAAGAACATAATCATCTGTTTAAGTCTCTCTCGTAAAAAATCGGTCTTGGATCAAGTATATTGAAACTACATGAAATATGTTAAGACTTTAGTGAAAAAACTATGGTAAAATTCCTAGCCCAATACCAGGATGTTTTCAGAAGATATCCAACAAACAAACGTTAAAAATTTGGCAAACCAAAATTCTCTGTAGATCTTCATCCTATATACTTAATGTTTTTTTTGTCAATTCTTACTTTTGAAGAGAAGAAAAATTCAATGCCTCAAAAAATGGCATCCTAATTATAAAAATACTCTTTTATATAATAGTAATAAAGCTTAAATTAAAAAAAAAGGGACTTGACATACTCTTTCAAGCAAAAATAAAATAAAATATATAGAATGAAGATCTATAGAGAATCGTAGGTTGTGCGATCAAAAATACATTATGTGAGAAAAAACGAAAAACATTTTTTGCTTTGTCCAAAAAAAAATAGTATATTTTTTAAAGCAGATAATGATGGAAATCATCCTGGCGAGAAAAATTTGATTGATTAGAAAATAAAATGTTTACTTGATTGTCGATTATCATCATTCGGTAGAATTTTTAATAAATGGTAATGACCATCTTTATCATTAGTAAGTTGAAAACCCCATTTATCTGTTTCATCAGCACGAGTAATAGTACATAAACGAATATCATCTGAATGTCGTCTTTGCGCATTGACATTGTAGTATGTGTTTGATGGTTGTTGATCATATGGAGGTAATGGAGGAGATAATGTTGTTGTTGTATCATCATATGCATCATTCTTTTCAGAAGAACCTGAATAAAATATTTCGATTGTTGAGAAAAACAAAAGTTTCGTTTTATTTTTTACTATCTGCTATATTCCCATACGAACCTGTTGGCGTGTTTATTGCAAATGGACTTTTTTGAAATTTTTTTGATTGTAATGGTATATTTTCTTTTTGAAAATGTGCATATGTATGTGTATCAACAACATATAATTTCACGGAAGATTTTAATTGTGCTCTACTCAATTTTTCTTGTATAGTTTCGCTTGATTCATTATCAACAAATTTATCATTAATTTCAAGAATTCGATCACTTTTACGTAATGGTGTTTCACTAGCTGGTGATTTCGGAATTATATCTTGAATATATGCGCCAATATCATTATTACCAAAACCAATAGTAAAACCAAATGGTTTATCAGTTCTATTTGAACGTATTTTACATGTACGTGGTGTATTTTTAGGAAAATCTTTGTAATCACGTGGCATTTGTTTTGGTGTGTCAATTATTTTAGCGAATCTCGAATTGATTGAGATACCGTTTTTTTTTAATTGATCATAAAAACGTTGTTCAACAACAAGTAATTCAATGCGAGCATTATTATCTCGTGCATTCTTTACCATACTTGTTAATTCCGTATATGCGCACTTAGATACATCTTTATTATTAACAGCAAGAATAACATCACGAAATCTGAGGCCACCAGCACTTGCTGGACTATTCGATTCAACAAGTTGAACAAGATGAGGAGGTTGTGGCGAACGATCGATACTAAAACCAAGTCCAGTATAATTATGCCATGCACATATTCGACAAAGACGTAAATTGGCTTCACGCAAAGCATTTTCGTCACCTGAGTCCGACATGATAATGCTGATCAATTTACTTTTTAATTAAATTCAAATATTAGTATCTAGAAACTAAACTATTTAAAAGATTAGATGAAAATATAGATTTTCCTTACAAATACATATTCATGGAATATTTCTCTATCAATAGTCTATTCGTATAGCTCGAGAAAAGAAAAAAACCAAAATTCTGTATTTTAGTGTATTCCAAGGATATTTCAAAGCTATTCTCTAGAACTTTTTAGATATTTCAAATCTACTATCAAAGTGTGTTATAAGTATATTAGTTGAAGTTCATTTTATATGAGTCTGTCTTAGCAATAAAGTTCAAATACTTCATCGTACTTCATTAATCTTCAAGTATGATGAAGTATTTGGGTTTTATTGCTGGACAGACTTATATATAATGAACTTCAATGAATATGCTCGTGACATCCTCTCATAGTAAATTTAAAATAGCTCAAAAGTTTCAAACGATAGCCTTGACTTACTCTTGGAGTACGCTGAAGAAGCAAATTTTCGCATTTTTCCTCGTGATATAGCTACAACAGACAACGAAATACTATGTCTTTCTTTGTTCCTTTTTGAATAGTTTTTTAACCATGAAGTCTTTTTTTCTTTTCTCGTTGCCTATCTAGAAAGCAAACGAACTTGATAAGCACTACACATACACATACACATACACATATTCAAGATCATATATTAAATAAGAAAGAGAGAGAGAGAGAGAGACAGAAGAAATAACATCTTTACATATCTTTACTTTTTAAGATTGAAGAATAATGAAATGTTTGATCCTTTTTTTTTTCAGTTTGAAAGTATACAAGTTATGCCGTGAAAGAAAATAGGAAATAATCTTTTTTCCATTATACATATCAAAATATATAATAACAATAAGCAGATATATTTTAGTCAGATTGAATTTTTTTTATTGCATCATATACATACATAGTGGATATATCATCCATCTTATCTTTTTTATATACAAAAGCAGATCATTATCGCCTATCTAATAATTAACTCACTATGTAAAGAAAATATAAATTGAAAAAATACGACATATAGTTATATATGTAACGAAAATAAATCAGAATTGAACATGCTAATATTACTTACAAGCTTCACTGATATCTGTCTTATATCTTTTTCACTCAGGTTGTATTTAAGTCAACTGAAGAGCTGTCCTTCATCATTCATATATTCACAGATAAGATAATAAAACATAAAAAATAGAGATGCTGATAATGACAATGAAAAAAAAATACATAATCTCATGATCTTCTTTTTTCAATGGAAACAAATTTAGAAAAAAAAAAGTAGAACATCTATTTTAATATATACATATCGATATCAATGAGTAAATGTCTGTAATAAGTTACTAATGATTTGTTTCTTTTCTCATCGAAATTTTTCAATTATAAAGACAACTAAACTCAGATATGTCGCTAAGAGGAAAAACGGAAATACAATGAAATTTTTTGAAAGCTGCAAAGATGCATATACAGTTTTTTAAAAGTGAGGCTGGATGTTGAACTTTCTTTTTTCATGTAAAAGATACGATGTTAGGTGGAAAATATAAAAAAAATTGCTAAAAGTACAAGGGAAAGGTACACATCTCACATAGTCACGTCCTTGACTAAACTAATATTATCATGGCTACTATTGACGACTGGTGACCACTAGATATAATATTTATGATACTAAACAACTTCATATCTACTAAAGACAGTTAACTGAAATTGATTTGAATACAACAAAGAATCAAGTAAATCATATAAGACTATTCAAAAAGAAAACTTTGTGGTTTAACCTATTTTGTTTATGTTATCATATATGTTGCTCATCATAGTTTTGTATCACCTATAATCAGTGAAAGTCTTTGTTTCTTTCTGCATTTGACTCAGCAAGAGAATATGAATATTACGGATTCGTAAAAGAAAACAAATAAATACATGACTTCATATAGTACAAAATGAAGAACTGGATGAAAATATGAAGAACCAAAAGACGAAGGACAAACTGAAATTATTTATTTTTAATAATAAACTCAGGTCCGTTCTTCTTCTTCTTTATAACAACGGTAATATGCAAAGAGAAAGAACTATTAATCTGATAAACTAAAATAAAATCGTAATAAAAACTATTTTTTCATTTCTTTTGAAAAAAAGTTTATATTTTCAATTATATATTATATAATATAAAACTTGATAAATTAATGTTAGATTATTTAAAATATAAAAATATATGTATACAGCTGTTATTGATCTAACTTTTTATTTTAAGTACAAACCTTTTCATATTTATGTATGCATAGTTTGTCAATTTATAATGTGTGATTAACGAATGATTATTTATGAAGTGTCATAAATTGTAATTTTCAACTTATCGACATAAATATATCAAATAAAGATAAATGTTTAGGATATTCTGTATAGGTCATTCGATCTATATATATCGATATTAACTCGGCTTCAAAGGTCTATGGAGATGAATCTTTTTAGACTTTTTCTCGTCTTACTGAGATCTTCTTGTCAGCTCAATATGAGCTCAAACTACCGGTATCAGTTCGAGCTGCTTTCCTGGTTAGTAAACTTTTTTATTTCTAGTAAAGCATATGATAAAATTTATTGACAACAAAAAAAAAATAATTCTCTTAGTCAAATCGAATATTTCGTTGAAGAAACAAATCCTTTAAAATCGTATCCAATTGAACATTATGTCCAAATAATTGACGTGCTACTTTTGATGACCATTGAAAATATTCTTCAACACGTTCTTCGGACCAACCAACAGGTGTACTACGATTTAAATCACGTAAATTATATATTTTATCAGCAAGACGAACAACAATAGCATCCGAAGTTAATTGACCAGCATTAACAATTTGTAAACGTTTACGTTCAGCTTTTGGTAAATTTTTGTCATCTGTTAATTCAGCTACGATACCTATTATATATAGAGTTCAATTATATGTAATAAATACAATTTATAGTAAATTAAAAAAAAAGTACCTATCTAATAGAAAATTGGTTAAAAAATATTACACTGAAGAATGTATCCTCTTTCGAATTAAGTATCAATTTCTTCTGGAAAAATGCTATGATATTTGTAATTAAAAAAAAATGAAATATTTGGCAAATAACTATAGTAGTTGCATTATACTATGAAAATATCATCGATATGATACCTCTTACGACATAAGAGTCATCTATGAGAAAGAAAAATACTTCAAATATCATTTTTTCTATTTTATCACACGACATTCTTACATTAATTGATGATGTTCTCAAAAGGAATTTCTTATATTAACTAAATATTACTTCTCCAATGAAAAATATCTTGTCTGATCGAATTATCAAATTCTTATTACTATAGACTATTCATTAAATATTCCTGCAAGAAAAAAGAATAAATAAATACCAGCAATACGAGGTCCAAATTCTTGTTCAAGTTCACCTAACGTTGTTTCCGTGTCTTCAATAGTATCATGCAAAAGCGCAGCCTGAAAGATACAATTATGTCTTCGAAACATGTCTTTGTTTAAAAATACTTACAGCAAGTAAATCAAAATCTTTAATACCAGCTTCATTACTTAAAATATATGCGACACCTATTGGATGATTTATATAAGGTGTTCCATCTAGATCTTTTCGTTTTTGAAATCGATGTTTATAAGCAGCGAATTGAAGTGCATGCATAAATTTTTCCATATCTATTCAAAGAATATTCAATCGTCTTCTGATATTACATTAAACAAAAGAAGATTGTAAAGTAAACGGAATAAGTTATTTTTTCTTATTCTATATATATCGCCCCGGAAGGGTTTTGAAGGGTATGTTGTCAATAGATAACATTTTATTCACTGACAACAAAACGTTCAAAACGTTTTCGGGGTGATATGACTCATTTGTGACTTTGTCATGGTTTCTTTGAGTGTGCATATGCAATAAAGTATACTTTCGTCATTAAGTTGATATCGGACAAAATTAAATGATGCCATCTGTTGATTTTTGATTATAATCTATGTATTTTTTTATTTCAAATTGCTGATATCAAATGGCAACCTACTGCATCAGTATGTTGGTAAAAACCGTAAAAGTAATTATTCTGTATAGAGGCAATCGGTATGTATCCAGGTCGAGACGAACGGTTAAAGAACGCGTTCTGAACGGAAGAACGTATGGAAACGCGTGCGGACCGCGTTCGATAGCGTTCACCCGTTCCGAACGTCATACCGAACGCATTCGGAACGCACGAAAAACGCGGTCCGAACTACTTGTTCCGAACGCGTTCTCTAGCCGTTCGTCTCGACCTATATGCTCTTCATCGAAAAGTACTTCGTCGAAAATATCTTTATAAGAATTAAACGGCTTTTAACAGTCTGAAACGTCTCGTGAGTCTTTTGCTGAAATGCTTTTCGGCGAAGAGTATTACATTCAGGCAACCAAAAATAACTTTAATAGTTACTCATTTTAAAAAAAGGAAAGAGAACGACGTGCAAATACAGTAAGACTACAAATATGAAAACAGAATACGTTTTTTTTTTTGTCTTGTTCTATTTATTAAATAGAAAAAATATATATATATATATATTGTCTAGTCAATATATGCAAAATATAAAAAGAAAATGAATAAATATGACAATATCACCAATAAAATAAGGAAATAATCAATAAAAGAGATTGTAATCAAAACTATAGTTTGAAGATCAATGCAAAATAAATAATGTTCATGTATATACTGAGTGTAGCAAAAGTTTTACAACATCTCTTGTTTTGTAAGTAATTTTGTTAAATTTTGCTCGTTCTTTTTTTCAAAAGATACATCATTGGATATTCTACTCAGATCTTTTTTTGGGTGTAAATATTTGGAATCAATTGTAGACTTAGTATGACCTACAATGCATAGGATTATTACTCATCTACATCTCAAATACAAATGAAAATAAACATCTATGTCAATTTATCTAGATACTGTGTTCTAAATTAAAACATTTTTCACTATTTTGCCCTCAAATATATATCGTCTCAAAACAGTGAGATCAGTGTACAAATTTCTTGATTAAACTTTCTTGACTATTGAAAAAAATAACAAAACAAAAAATTAAGATTAACAAAATAATAATTACAATAAGAACTTGACTTCAATCGAATATGAGAAAAATACATTGAGGAGAAATGAGTACTGAGCTCGTAGAAGGTATAGATTTTTTATAGTGTCTGAGACAGTCCATTTTATCTAATATTGATTTGATTAAAAATGATCTTTTCTGAGTTTTTATTGTGGGAAATAACATGATGATACACATGTTCAGTATTAGTAGTCTATTAAAATAGTTATAAAAATCTAGTCTTATGATCCGAGTAGAACATTGAATAGCGCATCTTTTGAAAAAAAAAAACGATCAACATTTAAGAGAGTTATATGCAAAACAAAAAATGTCGTAAAATTTTTGCCATACTCGATATGTGGCGAAGTTTTATCGTTCTTCATCTAATGTTTTTTCAGGAAGTTCTGTTATTGTATTTATTGAATGGTGTGTCATTTTATCAAAGTTAACACGTAATTTTTTATCATTTCCAGATGTATTATTATTATTATCAACAGATTGAACACTAAATCGATTTGTTGATACTAAAAATATAAATAAAAATCATTAGATGACGTATTAAAAATAGATAACTAACCATATGGAATATGCTTTGGTGATGAACTAGATTTATTGTTATGTACATTTTTAATTGTGTTATTATCATTATTAAGTGAATTAGGTATCAAATATTTTGTTGTTGAATCAGTAATTTTACCAATAAAATCATCGAGAATTTTATAATTTAAATTTGTATTTAATGTTTCTAATGGAGCAACAACAGCAGTTTCTGAACATATCACTAAAATAAATAGTTTCATTTTGAATTTACATCAAAATTTAATGGCATTTTTTTTTCTATGAATAATTAATTAAATATGAATAGTGTGAGTACTAAACTACTGATGAAGTTAAACTTTCATATTCATGTTAGAGAGTATGTATTTCTTGTTTTTTTTTATGACATAACATCCGTTACTAAAGAACATCGAATGTAAAAATTCCTGGATCCGGACAAGCTTTATTCGATACTGAGTGATATTTAATATGACGAAAACATCATTGAATATCGAACAATGAAGTAGAAGTGTTAACTAGAGATGCACAGGATAAGGTTTTTTTTGTATCTTAACTGAGAAAAATTTTCTAACCGATACTCTACGTTGGAAGGAGGTAGGTTCGGGTAACCTTGCACATCTCTGATGTTAACATTCATCAATAAGATATTTCAATGACTGTCAGAAATTACTTTTTTCTTAAACATTGTTCGATCGACATGTAACGTAAAATCTGATTAAATATAATCATGATACAAGAAAATTTTGTTAATCGGCATCATCCGAGATTCAAGTAATTATCATATTACATCAGAAATAATTCCTGATAAGTAAGAAGAAGATAACATAAATTTCTTATCAAGAATAAAAGTTTAAAAACAAAAAAGAATATTGTTCAAGGACTGAGTATGAAAATTATCATGAAGATATATTAATAACTTACATTTGTAATGTCTTTTCGAAACTCATTGATATTTAAATCTTTTATTATCGGTTGCTATACAAGTCTAATGAAAATAAACAATCATAGAGACTAAAATCATCAATCTTTATTCGACATGTATTTCCTTTTTCGTCTTTCTCATAAATTTATGACACACATCTCATTTTTTGTTTTCTTTGTTATTAATTATACTCATAGATTCTAATAAGATTTCAAATTCATTATATTACTGAAATATTTCTTGAGATCTTTCTGCATTCAAAATAATCTATTTACAAAACATCCATCAGTAAATTCATAGTATACATACATCCAGTTCGTTTACGTTCAAGTAATCTATTAAGATCGGGTGTCGATATTGCACCAGTAATTACTTTTGTACTAAAAATACTTGTTACTGGAACATAATTAGCTAGAGCAACATCAACAAATATATGGAATTTTATATAAGCAAACAAAAAATAACATACAACTATATTTGTTAGCTGAAGCACCATGAATTGTATTGTAATAATTATGGGATAATGTTGATTCTAAAATGTTAATAAAAAAAAAAATAATACTATATTGAATACAATATATTTTATATTATAATCAATAAAATGTGTATAGTAAAGATAATAAGCAATGTTTCCATATATGAGCACAAAATAATCATTAATTTAAGTGATTAATATAAATATATATATATGTGTGAGCATGAGTTGTCAAACGCATAGATATATATGTACAATAATATCAGTATAAAAACTAGGTGAATAACACAACTTAAGGGTACCCCCCTCTTTTTTGACACTTTCTGGTTCTCGAAGACGGTACAACCGATCAAGCTCAAACTTTCAGCACAGATAGAGCACTAAAATAACGAGATACATGTTCGAGGAAAAAAAAATTGGATTAAGTTTATGTGGGGTTTTCTATAAAACTCCAGTTTTCCAGAGGTCTTCATCCTGACACATTACGACCCCCCTCAAAATTTGTCCGATCGAGCTGGAATTTTTTTTATAGATACTCGAGACTGTTCCTCAGAGGTAAATTTAAGCTTTTTCAAAAATCTCACTTTCTTTTTTTTTTATAAGAGAAATACGTCAAGATCTCGAACCGACACTTGGATCTTGACTTTCAGACCCCTATAACTCCTGATAGGAATGTCAAAAATGAAAACGCTCGATTTTACCTCTGGAGAATACTCTTAAGTATTAGTGGTAAAAATTTCAGCTCGATCAGACAAAGTTAAAGGGGGGTCGTAATGTGTCAGGATGAAGACCTCTGGAAAACGGAAGTTTTCTAGAAAACCCCACATAAACTTAATCCAATTTTTTTTCCTCGAACATGTATCTCGTTATTTTTAGTGCTCTATCTGTGCTGAAAATTTGAGCTTGATCGGTTGTACCGTCTTCGAGAACCAGAAAGTGTCAAAAAGAGGGGGGGGGAGGGTACCCTTAATCTCTATACTCTCATGAATGTGTACTAATATTGCAGCCGAATTTCGACGCAAAATATTCGGACTAGGTAACAAAATCGATCGTACTCTTGTTGAATGAAAACCAGATATTAGACTTGATTTTCAGTAAAGTTTCATAGAGAATGAAGCAAGTGATTCTGTCTAATGTGATGTTATGTCTAGAACAATAAATATTAAGCAACAAACCCATAATTAGCAAATATGTTATGCTCTAGAAAACACTAGAAGAGGTAAAAAATGAGCAGTCAAATACATGACTATCTCAATTGTCTCCCACCTAAGAGACGACGATAGAAAATTTTTCCTTTTTGAAGATAATAAAAATACATATACCATATAATAATAGAAATAAAGTAATATAATTAGATAAACTTACGCTCTAAATCTGATTCATCATCTTCAAAAGATCTAGGTTTTGAAACAGATTTGTTATTAGAATTATTAGAACCTATAAAAGAAAATATCATGTTAATTTTGCTATCGATTAAAGAAAGAAAAATATCGATAAAACATACCTTGAGTTGTATTGGAATTAAGTTGAGCAGAATTAGTTTGTTCTGGTGATCGACTTGGTATCATTGCACTATTACTGCGATAAATTGTTTTTGACGAAAATGATCGTTGTTTAACAACTTTTTGACGTAATTTTTCTGATTGTATTGATTTTTTAGTATTATCATCAGTAATTAAAGGCGATTCTGGAACTAGTTGGTCTGCTGCTAATGATGTTATTGTTGTGTTTAATGGATGTTGTGTTAATGATGATGACATACTTGATTCTACTGTTGTTGGTGGTGAAACCGATCTTAACATTTCAATTCGATGTCTAGGTGGACTATGAGCTGCTTGTCGATTACTTTTAGGTAAAACAGTACGAATAGAATTAATATTTGGAGAAACTGAATCGATCTAAAGAAAAGATTTTTTTTCAATCAAATAATTAATGTTATTTAAAATTAATTTACTTCTGGTAATACATCAAAACATCCATAAGCTCCAGGTGAAAAATGTAATTCAACATGAAAACGTCTTTCAGAATCTTCTTCTTCACTTGAATCTTCATATAACATAATAACAATTTGTGTTAAATAATTTAATTCTGAAACAGTATCTAAATGTTCCATTGAACGTTTCCATTGTTCATCATTTGATACCTAAAAATAAGATATAAATAATTTATTATTAAAATATATATAAAATAAAATATTCTTTACATCTAATAAACCACCATAACGAATAACTGTAAGAAGTGAATGAACATGTGATTCACTAGTAAAATATAATCGTGTACGAACATGCCGACCAGGAGTTTGAATACCACTTGAATAACTATAATAAGTAAAAACAAAACAAACTTTTATAAATTTATTTAATAATAGAAAAATAAAATAAATATATATCAAATATTGTACTGCACACATTTTCATGCGATCGATAATATAAATTTCTTTAGGATTTATATTTTTTTGTCTTTAAATACGAATACATTCATTTTTCATGGTTCATGATAAAAAGAAGAATAAAAATCTAAAGTGCTAAGGAAAAGAATGTGATATTGACTAAATAATACCTGATTAGATCTGAATAGGCTTGATTCAAATATCTATGATATGATAATTTTAATGGAGTTTCTTTTTTTTTTTAAATTATTATTTAGTTATATATTTGATTTACTAGTTTTTCAATTAGTTAAACTTAATTTCTTACATTGGATCTAATTTATTCACATGTTCATCATGAGTAATAACACCGGTTAAATTACATTGAAGATCTATAAATAGAAAAAGAATTTTTTAACATCAAAGATTTGTTTCGATTGTCTATCTATCATGAATATGAATTCTTTTGACAAAAATTTAAGAATAATTTGAAGATTTGTACTTACCAGCTCGAATTTTTCGAAGTAATGGTGTAATAATGCCACGAGCTATGCTTAGTTTTTCTTCAATTGTCACACCATATTCCTGAAATATATTTATTTATAAAACATGGAAGTTTTAAATATTGAATATCTCTTACTTGAGGTACAACAATATCAGCTAATGCTTTTGAACATACATATAAATCTTCAGCATATAGAAATTGAAGAACATCTTTATTATGAAGTAACTCATATTTTATTGAATCATATATATCAGGTACTTTTGATATATTAAATTTATCTTTTCGTGCATCATAAAAATCTTTTCCTAATTTTAGCCCTAAAAATATAAATTGAATCATATTAAAAAAAACAACAAAAGATTGATTATTAATAAACATACATCGTCTCAAACATAGATCCCATGTTTCAGTCTGAAAAAGTGTGCCTAAAATATAAGAAAATACTCACATTCGATATTACAAAACAAATGAAAAACGGAATATTAAAATTTAAATTTATCGATCACAACCTAGAACTAATTTTCAGGAAAACATTCTTTAATAAAAAATTTTCTATCATTAATGATAAAGCTTTATTTTCTTAAAGTACTAAATAT